GAAGCGAGGGAGCTTGCCAGGCGGCCGTTTCCTTTCAGTTGATAGTTGACTGCGTGGCTGACGGTGAAAAAGTGTGATTGATAACTAGCGGTTGACGGGGCCCTAAGACGATGAACAGCCAGTAGACAAGGCAAGTATATGTATAGACGTGTTGTCTGAGGTCGGTTCAAGGTCGTTATTAGTTAGATGGCGATACTGAAGGGAGAGGCGAAGGAAGAGGAGCCGACTCTTGCGATGAATGAATGAAATACGGAGTCTGGCATGGGAGCTATTTAAGGGGATGCCAAATTGCCGCGACAGCTCAGGTTGTTATATATATATTTTAATACCTCCCCCTTCACACGGATAAGGGATAACCAGACATCTGGATGGACAAAGGGACCGTTTCTTCCCCTTTCTCCTCGTCTTCTCTCGACCCAATTTTTTTTTTTCCCGTACAGGTTTAAGCCAGCCCTGATTGCCGGCCAGACTGGATCCGTGGGCGAGAGAAACGGTAAGGGAAGGGGGTGACAGAGCTAAATTGTGAAATTATTTCATTCCTATCTGGCCCATCAGAAAGCTAGGCTGGGGGAGGATAGTTATGGTGTCATTCTTTTGCTCACCAAGTTCTCATTTCCTCCACAACAGGGGTGTGTGTGTGTTTTTTTTGGTAGAGTTGAGATCCATCTTTTTTACCCCCTGGTCTGACTTGGCGGGTGTTGCTAGCTAACTAGTTTATGCCCCGGCCGACGGGCATGTAACTATACAGAGAGGGAGTACTGCTGAGGCCCGCTGGATGTAGGTAAACTAGCTACGGGTTAGCCATTCGGAGTTGGATGGGCGGGCAGGTCAGTCACTGGCGGTTCTTCATGGTGGATGATGGCAACCCGGAGACCTGTCGACGAGCAAGCAAGGGTTTCGCGTAAATATACCCTGGGATCAGTTCCTGTTCTTGCATGAGAACGGGTGGGTAAAGCACCCTGGCACCGGCAGCACCAGCGGTGATCGGATGGAGTCGCTCTGAGGTAGTTTGAGGAATCGAATGGCTGAGAGACGCCCTTGGGGGGCCAGTGACGCTACACTAGGCCAGAAGACCTGCTCCTTATATCCTAGCCATGCATAGACGAGTCCGGCTGTAACTAGCCAGGGGCCCTCGTTGGCTAGCTGACTAGTTAATTCCTCAAGGTGCCCTCGTTTTTCAGCCGCTGGGTGCGCACTGCCTGCGTTGTTGATGCGATGTGCCGCAGCCCCTGGGAGGCCGCCTAAGTTAAGTTAACTATAACCTAGCGGACTCGCCACGGTTTCAGGTCGCATAAAATATCTTTCAACTGCATGAACTTGCATGTGCGGCGGCTAGCGGTGCCTCTGAACTCTTCGCTCTGCCTCTGTGTCTCTCGGCAGGTTGACTCGTAACAGTTATCCATCCCGGCGGCAAGGTGTTTATTTTTGATAAACAAACCAACGCCACAGCCGGCCTTGCGCTTCTGATTGGAGTCCTCGTCCTATGCTCAGTATTAGCCATGCTCATATCCAATGAATACAGGAATACACTTATAGCATCTGCTCCTACCGTCTTGCCTGGAAAAAAAAAATCGCAGAGAGGTGCCAGATGAAACTGGTGGAGTGTCCTAGGGGAAGAGACCTGCAGGCCAGCGCCTATTTACTTTCTCAATGCCCTCTGCGAAAGGTGTCTAAGGGCCATGGACGGCCAGATACCACTCAGATGCTCCGCCCATGGGAATCTATTTTTACCATATCCACCCTTTTCTTCGTGTTTGATATCCTCCTGCTCTTTGCTTGCTCCCGGCTTGCTCATTGGCCGCGCCTCCATCTCGGTCGTCTAGGGGGGAAGAGGGGGGTCTGTAGAGCAGCCCTGAGGCCGGCGCGAGATCATACCTCTGCTGTTTCTCATGGCCAGATATCTGTCCCGGTGCTCTGGTTCTTCCTGTTTCGCGGTTAAGATCCTATTCTTGGGGCTGGGAATGCTCCGAGCGCTGCGCCGGAATTTCATACGCTTCTCAATTTTTGGAATTGATAGGATGGCAGCTCTCCTTTCTGCTGGACTCAGGCGCCTGTCCTGGCAGAGGCTGCATCTGGCCTCTGCTTTTTCTCCCTGTTCAATTGCTGGATTATCCTCTTTCGAGCATTCGAAGGAGGCTATATCTGCCTTTTCTTTCTTAACTCTAATCCCTTATAAAGTCGACTGAGTTTGTCCTTGAACTGGGAGTCTTTCAATTCAGATCTCAACCACCGCGGCTTTTGATAACTCTGCTACACGCTCTATATACCCAGATACTTGTTTATTGTTTAATTGACTACCTTCCTTTGGGCTCGGCCTCTGCTCTTTACTATACCAATCCACAAAGTCAAACACTGTCGCCATGTTCATTGAACGCCGCCGAAGCACAGGTGATGGCTACCAGAAGAGAGTCCTTTTCAGTCCCAAGGGGTTCACACAGCACCTATGCGAGGACATGGCCGCCCATGGGTTCTTTGCGGAAGAGGAGTTGAGTGATATGGACGACGCTGTCAATCTCACAGGCTGTCCCCGGGAATCTGTAAGGGCATCTCAGTCCTCCCGAGTCCGCATCCGCATCTCCGTCAGCCCACAGGGAAAAGGCCATCGTCGGTCTTCCAGCATCCAACGAGATGTTGAATACGATGAACCACGGAACACTACGTTTTCCCTGACCGACAACAGCTCGATTGCTGGCCTCCGCAGGAAACGGTCTCCTTCTCCAACACCTTCAATGACATCAACTTCATCTACCGAGGAGATCATTCGACCCTCCAGGAAGAAGACCACCATCATGAAGCCGCTGAATAAGTTCAAGGAGGTGGTACCGGTTGTGCATATCCCAGAATTCAAAGAGCTACCCGTCAAATCGAGACGCTTCAGAAAAGTGTCCCCCTCTGCCTGCCGCAAGGGTGATCCCGTCGTCATCACTCCAAGAGTTAAGCCAACAGTGCCCAGGAATACGACGCCTGAAGCGGCCAAGGGCAACTCCGCGTCTTCACCCAAAGATGGGAAGAAGAAGGTCCGTTTCGTCCTGGGTGATGATGACGGGAGACGCGAGAGTCCTCCTGTGCAACGGTGTAGCCAAGCGTCTTTCTTGACCTTCAAGTCAAGCAACAAGCAGCTCGACAGTTAATATCACATAGATGGAACTGTCTTTGAACCGACAATAGATTCATCGAGGCAACTCAGTTTTGCAGCATCTAGCTGCTCATGTTCATATTTCTTTCCTTTTACCTGTTTTTGCATTATTTTCCTACATTTCCCTGCGCTCTTTTCAAGCATCTTATGACCTAGCTTCCCTTGTATGTTCCGTCTGGCGGTGAGACGGCTTGATACCCTCGTTTGAATACTCTGGCATGGCGGTCGTTTTTGATTGATTGATATTGATGATCTTGCATATCGGTTGGTGATTTGTTTCTCTGCGCTTGTACAGCTACTCTCGCTCCAGTTTCCTTATGACTCTCTTTTGTATCTTATGAACTCATGATTTTACTCTCGAATAAAAGGCATTCACTCACTTATTTGCTGTCTGGTCAAATTCATATCGACGTCATCAGTATAAAAATGCCGAAGAAATGGACAAGTTAGTCTCAGCTTAGTCAGCAACTTCAGCGACTTCGCCGCGGCTTCAACGTGGAAGAAGAAGAAGAAGAAAAGAACAAGACGTCGAAAAGAGAGAAAAGTGACCAGGCTGGCTTCTTCGTGGCATTGACAGCTATTAAAGAGACGAGGAGCCCGGCTTGCCAGATGAGAGTGTAACTACTCGACGAGGGCTGCCTGCTGACGGTGTTTGCTGGAACGACCGCATCGCGCATCCATCATGGCTGAGAGCTACAAAGCTAGAAAGGAGGCCTTCGTCTCCAACCTCTCGGGCAGCAGCGTATGGGATATCCACACGGTTTCAGCTGTTGTCCCGGTGAGTATACGCATCTTTACGGGTCCCTTCTTCCCATTATTCAGTGCTGCTGGCTAACGGTGCTTCGGTAGAGTGCGGTCCTACTCTGGTCCGTCCTTCAATCGCGCCGCTCGCTATTTACTCCCTATGAACTACCGGCCGTGATAGCAGACTTCCTTTTGACCGTTGTCACTGTACTGTTCGCAGTGACAGCGTACTCCTCCTCGCCGATAGTGCTGAATATACTGCTCCTCTCTCCTGCCGCCCTGCTCCTGTTAAGCACCAAGCCCAAAAATGTACGCCAAAAGGCAAAGCCTCCACCGGGGTCTGCGAAGAGCACGACACACCAGGGCCAGGGGAGCTCCGATGCTGCGTTAGACGCCCTCCCACAGCGTCCATTTCTCACCCACTACCGAGCAAGTCTGATGATAAGTACCTGTCTGTCGATCCTAGCGGTCGACTTCACTGTGTTTCCTCGGCGGTTTGCAAAGGTGGAAAACTGGGGGACCTCCCTCATGGACATGGGAGTGGGCTCGTTCGTCTTCTCGGGGGGTGTCGTTTCAGCGCGTTCGATCCTGGGACGTGGTAGTGCCGCCTCCCAGGGCTCGTTCGCAAAGCGCTTACTTGCATCTGCACGCCACTCCATCCCCCTCCTGGTACTGGGCCTGATTCGCCTGTACAGTGTCAAGGGGCTGGACTATGCAGAGCACGTAACAGAATATGGTGTGCACTGGAATTTCTTCTTTACTCTAGGACTCCTCCCGCCCTTTGTGGAGATATTTCATGCCATGACCGCACTGATCCCGTGGTATGAGGCCCTCTCGCTGCTCGTTATCGGAGCGTACCAGGTAGCGCTAGAATCCACGAGCTTGAAGGAGTACATCTTGGTCTCTCCGCGGGGGCCGTCTCTGCTGTCCAAGAACCGAGAGGGAGTGTTTTCCTTCCTTGGGTATCTTGCCATCTTCCTGTCTGGCCGAGCAGCCGGGTTACGGATAATACCTCGCAAACCGCGCAGGACCCTACTCATCCAGCTGGTCTCATGGTCAGCAGTGTGGGCGACCTTATTCACTCTCAACTCCTCCTACTTCTTCGGGTACGGCGCGGGAATTCCGGTCTCCCGTCGACTGGCTAATATGCCCTATGTCTTCTGGGTTAATGCATTCAACATGACCCATATGCTGCTCTACTGCCTCATAGAGACCGTCGTCTTCCCGTCGGTGGAGAAGGTGTCGAATAAGAAAGAAGAGGCGGAACAAAGCGACTTTGCAACGAGCAGGGTCATGCGGTCATTCAACAAGAACGGCCTGGCCATCTTCCTCATTGCCAACTTGCTTACAGGGGCTGTCAACCTGAGCATGAACACGCTCGACGCCCGAAAGGAACTGGCCATGGCGGTTTTGATGCTATATTCGGTCATCCTGACCGCCATCGCATTGGCGCTTGATTTCTGGAATGTAAAACTCAGGCTATAAATAACATAGACACGGAATAAATACATAATACATAATAATTGGACAGCAGCTTTTGAAACGTCAACGCCTTTTCTTTTTCCTTCACATGCGTCTTTTGGCGCTTGTCAAATGTTTTCTTTTTCTTTAGTTACTTTGTTACCTAGTTACCTTTGAGCTGTCGGAGTCAACAAAGCTCAGGGATGGCTTTTTTGGCCGAGGTTGGTTTGCACTGGTTGATAGCTCGGCTGCTATGGCCGCTAAAGTTAACTGCCTAACCTCCTTTCAAACGGAGGGTATAGTGACATCGAGACATCCATTAACCAACAACAACAACAACAGCGACGACGACGACGACATCGACGTCGATTAACTTGCCAAAACCTGCTCTGTCGACTCCTGTCCTGCATTGAAAAACCGACGCCCAGGAATTAATTGGCTGAAGATGGCTGCCAATAAGAACCCGTACCGGACATTCCCCACGCCCGTTGAAGGCCCGAAAGTACCATACAAGGCTGCGCAAGAATCGAACCCCATCTTACGTGGCCGCGTGCTGGAAATAGCTGCTACTCTGTCAGTCCATCCCCCATGTCTGTTATGGCCGTCGGTTTTATGTCCCTGCATGAGCTGCGTTTGCCAGTAACTAGCTGGTTTGAAGCTAACACGGTCGTTTCAACTAACGCCTTAATATCTACAGAGTCCAATCTTCGAGTTTTATCCAGTCCATTCTCTGGCGCAATGCAGGCTTCTCTACCATCCGTGACATCCAAGACCTAACGGCATACGAACCGAAATTCGACCCTACTGTCCTCCCCCCGCTGACCCAGCAATCTGGCACTGAGACACCCGAGCTACCGGCCCCTACCAGACGCCGCCAGGATGGCAAGGGCGACTACTATACCTCTGCTGATTACCGTGAGCTTTACAAGGCCGGCAAGCTGACTCCTACTGCTGTTGTGGAGGCGTTGCTGCCTGTGATCAGACGTGATACTTCACCTCCTGGCGAGTTTTCGGCGGGTTTCTCCCAGTCAAAGATTGATCTTGTTCGTGCCGCCGCAGAGGCTTCCACACAAAGATGGGCTAATGGCACGCCATTGGGACCGATGGATGGAATACCCGTTGCTATCAAGGATGAAGTGGACATTGATGGATATGATAAGTACCTGTCGAGCAAGGTCGACTTCACAGCTAATCCTAGCTTCACTTCCTGGTGTGTGAAGAAATGGGAGGAGGCCGGCGCTATAGTCATTGGTAAAACCGTTATGCATGAAATTGGACTAGGTACGTCTATCATATTGATCCAAAAATGGCGTCAGTTCTTGTGGTTTACTTGAATTGACATTTTTTCTAGACACTACAAACAATAATCCCGTTGTTGGAACCCCGAAAAACCCCCATAACCCAGGATACTACACTGGAGGCTCCTCAGGAGGCTCTGGGTATGCAGTTGGCGCTGGTATTGTGCCTCTTGCCCTCGGAGCTGATGGTGGTGGCTCTATCCGCATTCCCTCGAACTACTGCGGCATTTATGGACTCAAGACAACTCACGGCCGAGTTTCATCTGCTCCAACGCGTAGACTGGCGACAACTGTAGGAGTCTTTGGCCCAATGGCATCCAGTATCGATGACTTGGCTATGGGCTACCGTATCATGAGCGCGCCTGACCCGAGCAACCCTGTGTCGGCGGCATTCCCCGACCCCTTGCTGAGTATCCCATCTCCGTCTTCCTCTAGGGGCAAGGTTATCGGTGTATACAAGGATTGGGTTGAGAGGTCTGACCCAGATGTCCTAGCCATGTTCAATAAGGCTATTGACTACTACCGTGACGAACAAGGTTACCAAATCGTCGACATCACCATTCCATACATCCCCGAAGGTGGAAAATGCCATGCCCTATCAATTCTAAATGAGATATCAAGCGGCCTTAGCAAAGAACAAATATCTCAACTATCTGCTCCTACAAGGATCATCGTCTCCGTGGGCGGAACCCAAGGTCTTGCACAGGACTATTTCGCCAGCCAGAGGATGCGCCATCTCCTCATGAACCACCTTTCTTTCCTCTTCCAAAAATACCCCGGCATCGTCATTGCAACTCCCACAACACCCACAGCCGGCTCCAAGATTTCTGGGGGCGAGGCTGATCTTACCAACGGAATCAGTGATTCCAATGCAACCCTGCGATCCATGGAATATGTATACCTCGCCAACTTCACCGGGTGTCCTGCCATTTCGTGCCCAATGGGCTATGACGATGAGCCTTCCGTCCCCGTTGGGCTGATGGGTATGGGAGAATGGGGCAGCGAGGAGGCCTTGATGGAATGGGCTCGTGATGGCGAGGGAATGCTAGGTGATAAAGGTTTGAGAGCGCCTAATAAGGAGAAGGGCGGGAAGTGGGTTGACGCCATCAACTTGGCACTTAACCCAAGCACTGAATGAACCAACGGACAGTTTGCGATTGTCTGATATTGCCTAACACCATACTTTCTCCAGGCTTCTGAGTTATTTCACTTACGCCTCTTTTATATTTAGCAGGACCTGTTGTTGTTGCCTTTTTTTTCGATTAATTCTGGTAATTGTGTATTCCTAATGACTGCCTACCAATAATATGAAATTACTGAAATGGTCGCACTTCAGTGTAAAGAACTGGATCATGAACATCCAGTAAACATAGCCAAGGGTCAAACACCATTCTTTTCATTCAAGGTTGATGAAACTCCATTTTCATGCCCGAGTCAAACAGGTGGTAGTTATTGGTAACAGGATAGTACATACCGGTCAAACAGCTGCTAGATAGCAAGATAAATGGATACAAGCTGCACCCTCGTCCTGCGACTTCTAATAGTCCTATGTCAAAAAGAAGAGGGTATTAAAAAGGACAACAAAGAATAGCAGATAAAAGGATAAATAAATGAGAACCATATCAATTGGCTAACGTGAATAAACCATGAGTGAGCTTTGATCGTCTTGAAACTGAATTTTAAAAATAACAGAAAAAAGGTAAAGATATCAACTTTAAAATAAAACATGACCTTAGAAAAAGGTAAAAGGGAACATGATGGCATTGTAAATTCTCGGCTAAAGGGTTGGGTGTATGTGGGTTTATTCTCCGTCAGTGTCTGTTTCGGTGTCTGTTTCGCTTGTGTCGTCGGCGGCGTCGCCGTCGGTGTCACTCTCGTCGTCTTCGCTGGATTCAGCGACACGCTTCTTCTTGGGAGGTGCTTGACCGGTTTTCAAAGCTTGCATCTGTCCGGCAATGGAATCTGGAGGGTTGTTAGAATATATATGCATTATAAAGTGGGCCCACGGTATTAGTAGTAAGTTCAATGCATACCTTCGTCTGGTTCACTGATGTCATCTTCCTGAGCTACAGCAGCGGCCTTCTCTAGATCCTCAACTTCAAGAGTAATTTCTTGCTCCTGGTCAAATCCGATGTAGCTGTCGCAAACGATGTTAAGGACGAATGGGAAACTTCCGACCTGTGGAGGAGCCTGGAACTGCATCTTCATCGTCTGTACGTTGAAAGTTGGTTTGCCCTCATCGTCAAATATGGGCTTGTCAAATTTGGTGAATGTGAAAGGAGGAACGGCCATACGGTCCTGCTTAACATCCGCAAGGAATATGTGCCATCTCGGGGAGTGGTCTCGGGCGAAGTAAGGGGCGTGGGCAAGAGGAGGCTGAATCTCAGGCTCATCTTCCTTTTCACTCTGGGTCTTCTTCTCTTTCTCCTTAGGGTCAACCGTAGCATTTCCTGTCTGGGCGTCTGCTATGGCGTCTTCGTCGATATCTTCAATTACGAGGTCCGACTCCTTGACCGGTGGAACGTATTCGCAGCCAGGTGGGACAAAGCGGGCTTTTACAACAAGTTGTACCAAGCTGCTAGGAGTTATGACTTTTTCGCTTTGCACTCTGAGAACGGCCTTGCACAGCTCCAATGCGGGTATTCTCCTTGCTACCGATACTGCAGTTTGATACTGCGAGTCTGTCAAAAGTCCACTACCGATAGTCATGCTTCGTCGCTTGACTTCTGGCAATTTCATGAACTGCTGAATGGTCATGTGGGTTTTAGAATGTTCGCCTTCCACGGATCGGACAACGTTAGGGGTAAAGTAGGGAAGCTGAAGAAGCGGAGAGGAGTTCGGTGCAATAGCTTGAATGAGGTTTTGGGATGTATAGAGTGATGTCATGATAGGTTGCAGGTTGCCGAAAGCCAGGGCAATGGTGGTGAAAGCATTGTTGAGGGTAACGGCAGGGGGTGCGACTTGGAACTTTTCTATGAAGGTTTATCGGATTAGCTATGTCAGGCGGCCTCCTTTGGAGAAACATTAACATAAACCTACCGTTGTTAAGGGTATTGTCTTCGAGGTCTACCCTTCCAAGATAAGCCCATAACAGCGCAAGCGCCTTTCTCCTCCTCTCATCATCCAATTTGCTTAGAGCGAGTTTATCCTTGGGTGACATATCCACCGACTCAAGGATTTTCTTCTCAATCTTAGCTAGCCCTGAATGCGCATGATCCCCATCGAGGAGTTCTGTATACTCATCTCCTACGCTCATGGTGCCAATCATATCCCCGCCAGTCAGGCCCGGTTTGTACTCTCGGAACAGGTTCCCTGCGCTGGCCACAAGAACGTTGTCCTTGGTATAGCGCTGGTTACCGTACCACCACCTTCCAACGGTATACGGAAGGAGAACACCAAAGAGGATTCCATACAGCAAAAGGACAAACTTTCCATTTCCTTCCGTGACGATAAATTTGGGCAGGGCGATACCAATGCTGAAGCTCTGTTTTCCGTCAGGGTGGCCGAATTGGATATAGTTGTTTCTGATTTCTTCGTCTGTGAGTGTCTTGTATGCCTTTGTAAGTTCGACGAAACGTTCGTTGAGCATCTCAACGGTTTCATTTTTTGCAGGGTCGGGCTTGATCTTGTCTGGGTGGAATTTGACGGAAAGGCGTTTATAGTGTTTGCTGATAGCTCTCTCATCCGCGCTCTAAACCAATAGCCAGCCATGGTTAGACAGTAAAAAAATTGTTATTTAAAAAGTAAAGGTAATCTCACTCTTGAAATTCCGAGAATTTCATAGGGATCCCAGATCTTGGGGGCAGATCTTGCAGTCACGGTGATCAGGTAAACCATCCAGGCCATAACTGCATAGCCAACTATCACCGTAACGATCCTCTTGATACGGCGCTCCTTTCGCAGAAGCTTCTGCTTCTGACTCTGTATGATATCGTCATGTTGTGGCTTGAAATCAGACTTGATTCGAGGGGCAGAATTTTCGAGTCCTACACGCGGGGGAAGGCAATATCAGCAAAGCTGCAAGGCACACGACATACAACGGCCTCGAGACGAAGGCTGACAAACCTTTGACAGGCCTTAGAAGGGTATATGTGAGAGGGAGGGTAACGAGGCCGGTCAGGGTGAGGATGAAGAAAGGGAAGAATTGGCCCTAGACAAAGCAAGCGGACGGGTCAGTCACGAACATTACAAGATATACACGTTGCATTGGACAATACCAACCTGCTCGTCGTAGTTATAGTCAGTCGACATGGCTGCGGATGCTCCAGCTCTCTAATAAGGGTCGAATGTATGTCTCCGGGTGAGCACAAGGGCTCATAGGGTGTGGTCCTCCCTTATATCTCGCTCCTCCGGCGGTTCTCACAAGCGAACACAGCTTTGAAAGAGATCGTAATGAAACTAGCACCTCAGTCTCGCGGGCCCCTATATCCTCGGCATGGAAATATCGCAATATCCGGCTGGCGGTAACCTATCGACCCGTTGCTCTCTTTGCCGTCCTCTTCGGCTTGATCTTTGCGATCTCGATGTCACATCCGTGGCCTCTTTTGATAGATCGCCTGATCGGGACTAGCGCCATGGTCTAAACGTGGATTTAAGCTAAGGAACTAGGCCTAATAGGGGAAGGCGTAAAGAATTGTCTAACCACTTTAGGATAGTTTTCCCGGGGTCGGCTGGATGAGTAAGCAATGGATCCGAATGACAGCATAGCCAAAAGTTAAAGCTTTCTGATATTAAAAGCATCACTTACACGTTAAGGACATCAAACAGCTATTTGGCTATCAAAGGGCTTATCCTTTCTTTGGACACCGTAAAATACCCAAGTGTTTACTTTATCATAACGATATAACCTCGATAAGGGATGGTAGTAGTCAACTTATACTATTACTTCTCTCTCGTAGTCTGCAGCCCCACAAGGATCCTACTTGATAACATTTCCTAAAAAGGGAAAATATACACTATTTTCTTTATCTGCTACCAGATTCAATCTGTTTGTTAGTGTCTTATGTTATTTGTCCTGGCCTGCAGCTGTCCTGCTATCTTGTGTTCTTGCCCCGCTCTTTAGTTATTTGACAAGCTCGAGCTCCCATGTTCTACAAATATAAAAGGCAGCTTGTTCCCCTCCAGTTATCCCCAAACATTGAGATGAAACACATTTACCTCATTACCAGCTTCAAATTATAGGCCCTCTTGGATTCTAATTTTGTGTTGATATTCTTCTTTTCTTGAACTACATTCCATACAGCCATGCTTCCATTGCTTCGGCAGTCTATGTTTCACGCGCGTCGCCCACCTTATAAGTTAAATTTACTGTTTTGCATAAGGAATGCGAATATTCATATCCTCCGGAATACCTCATGGACAAGCCGTGACCGGGCTTCAGCTGAACGGCCACAGAGCCCCCGGCTTTATACCCCCTATACTACGCAAAGCCCAGAAATCTCTCTGGACGATGATTTCATCAGCCCAGAGCAAAGGGAACAAATATTCAATGGCGTGTTCCCTGCTGACTTTTCGGGTGAAGTGATATCCTTGAGAACAACAAGACAAGAATTCCACCACATATCAAAGGCATTTAGAGCCTCAACAGACAAGTACGCTTGCCTCTACCCACTATTATTATATTGCATGCTTACGTTGTCATTGGGGAAATAGGAAAAGTCAAAATGCAACTGTGCAATTTAATGAGGGTTTCCACAGCACCACCATCAGGCACAATCAAGTCCACCTGCATTCATGTTTAATCAATTCCGTTTCTCATCAACTCTGGAATCTCATAAATCTAGACGAGATTTCATTTTACTGTGATTCTACGATATCTGAGGGAATCCCCGACCCAGACATTCAGATGGTCATAGACTCAGAATGGGGCATGGAATCCGTTTTTGCTGTTGAGGTTGGCTTTTCGCAGACCAGTGTGGACCTGGAGAAGAGAATGAGACATCTTATTGAAAAGACTACAGTCAAGGTCGCTATGCTGTTTGATATTAAGGAGACTCCTAATTATAAAAACCCCCTCCAAACGGAAGAAAATAAAAAGATCTATCACTCTGAGAGAATGGCTCGCCCGGGAAATCCCAGTGTACTAATTCAGCAGTACTGCAAAGGAAGGGCTCCCTATAGCCCCGTGTTCTTATACGGCGCTCGATGGATGGGTGAGCTTACCGCTGCAGTGCAGGTATTTGGTAAAAGCACTTCTACAGGAGAGCCCATCACGCGGACACCAAGAATTGTAAGTGCATTTATTTCCCCATTACATAGCTTAACAAATGCTAACACTTACACTTTTAGACCTTCTTCGGGGCCCCAAAGTCTCCCAAATCGAATGAAGGGCAATTGGAGACACCTATGTACAACGCCTACCCTTGTTTGAATGTAAAGTTGTCAGACTGCGTACAGTCAGACGATGAGGCTTACAATAAGGAGCTGGTACTGAACTGGGACAAAATAAGACACGAACTGGAGAGAGCTAGGCGCTGTCTTGCTGCCGAAAGGCACGCAGCGGCTGCCCTTAAACTGTCTGTTGGTGGAAACCCATGATGGACTAGGTAGTTTTTGGACAATTTAGGCTGGCGATAGGAGATAACAGAAAGTAGAGTAGACTGCAGAAAAGCAACTAAACAACAAGACTCATCAGAGGGACTGGTAACGTGCTGCATTTTTTCCATCTTGTATTTTCGGCTGGCTTAACTACTCATCAATGTCCGAATAAAAGAACATTTCAACCAACACTTCTTACTCTACTTACTCTATTCTGTCCTCTATGGCTTTAGTACACATCTAACATTATAGTAGCACGCTGGTAGCGTACACACATATATTCAGGGTCTTGTTAAAGGTTAAACATATTCCATCTACATCCTGAGTCCTTCCTCTTCCCCCTTTGCTTACGGTCTTCAGAAGCTCTAGTATTATTGTTAGGATAAGTCATCCTCTGTGTCAGTAGAACTCGCCTGGTCCATGTTCCCAAAGGGAACATGGGGCAGGAAGGCCTTTTTGTCCCATGGTCCTGTGGTCCATGCTCCAACAATTATCAACTTAAGCCTTAGTTAGCCAACTAGATTTGAGTTAGGGTTGGCTAGTTAGTTAGCAGGCTAGGCTTAGTCGGGGCTAGTGAAGTCTTAAGCTAGTTAGTGACTAGCTTAGTTCAACGTCCCCCACTCCATCCACACCACGACCAGCAAAGGATACATGTCAAGATGGCGTCCTACTCAGTCACCGTCTCGGTTGCGGGAACCAGCATAAACAAGTATCCTGGTAAGTAACAGATTATATGAGTTGGTTAACTAGCTGGGTCAGCTGGGTTCGACCTAGCTATGGCTGACTCGTATGATCCAGGGAAACAGCATGCCCGTAGAGTAGCCGCCTACCTGCCGAAGCAGCAGGGCCTCATTTATCTACCGGGCCAGCAGACGGTGTTGTCTGAAGACTCAGACCAGGACAGGCCGTTTAAACAGCGCCGCTATTTCTTCTACGTGACCGGCGTCGTGGAGCCGGATTGCCATGTTACATATGACATCGCGGAGGATAAGCTGACGCTATACGTGCCGGACTTTGACTTCAAGCGGACTATCTGGACAGGTCCCACGCTGGGAAAAGATGAGGCTAACCAGAGGTGTGTATTTAATGCGCTTCTTGGACTCCTAACGGAGATATTGACCTGAATGCAGGTATGATGTTGACCGAGTGGAATACTTCTCTGCGTTGGAAGGCGATGTTCTGCGTTGGTCCCAAGCGAACCCATCGCTATCCATATATATACTACACCCAGACCAGCGGCCGGTAACTCCGCTGACGGTGGCGTATTTCTATGAGTCAAAGTCACTGAAGCACGCGATGGATGCGTGCCGAGTGATCAAGGACGAGCATGAAATCCAATTGATCCAGCGAGCGAACCGCGTCTCTGGCGCAGCTCATCGGAGCATTCTAGCTAATCTGCACCATTTCAAGAACGAGGCGCAGATAGCCGGTCTCTTCATTGATGTCTGTCTGTCCCTGCGCTCGAAAGGGACGGCATACCAGACAATAGCAGGCTCGGGATCTAATGGTGCAACGCTGCATTACACCCGCAACAATGAACCGCTGGCTGGCCGACAGATGGTTGTACTTGATGCTGGTGCTGAATGGAGTTGCTATGCAAGCGACGTCACACGATCGTTTCCTATCCCTTCAAGCGTAAGCGGGGGAAGAGACTGGCCAAGTCGTGAGGCTGAACAAATCTACGCCATTGTGCAGCGCATGCAAGAAGAATGCATCAGTAGAGTAAAAGAGGGGGCTTTGTTCTTCTCAATCCATCAGCACGCTCACGCCATCGCACTGGAGGAATTACTCAAGCTAGGAATACTGCGTATCCCCCAGGGTTCGACCAAGGCCGACCTGATCAAGGCAGAAGTGACAGCTCTCTTCTTTCCGCATGGTCTAGGTCACCATCTTGGCCTGGAAGTGCATGACGTCTCACCCGATAGCGGCACCATACCTGTCGAGCTTGCTATAGAACGGGAGAAAGGACTAATGAGTGTCACGGAACATCGACCGCCGTGCACACTCTCTGCACCACCATTGGCGTCTGGAATGGTCATCACCGTGGAGCCAGGGCTGTACTTTAACCGGCTGGCCATCGACCAGGCACGAGCTGAGCGAGACGAGCCCAACTCGAAAGGCAGGTTTGTCAATTTCGATGTAGTGGAACGGTATGTGGATGTTGGAGGCGTGCGTATCGAGGATGATGTACTTGTTACCAAGGATGGTAACAAAAATCTCACCGATGCACCTAAGGGGAAGGAGATGCTTGATTTGATTTATGGCAGGTAAGTGAGCTTGTTATAATCCGTGTAGACGTTTTAAGTGTCGGCTAGAGGCTTCAACAGCTTAAACATGCATATACCTACCTACATAGACTAGTTTCCTCCATATCAGAATGATACTATGACTAAACACAGGCACGATCTTACATCACTTTTTTACCCCCTAGCTAGTTATCAAAGTCATGTTCTTGTCCCACAAATTTTATAATTACTCACACACCCTTTAGATCTGTTGGAGTCACTGCGATCAGTGCAAGGCAACCCCATTAATTGCTCATCTAAATCTGATACCTCCTTCCCGCCCACTTTCTACTCACAAGCTCGTAAAGCCCAGGTATATGTACATATTATAACACTGTTCGAATAATAAACAGGTTAAAATAGCAGTCTTTCTTGGATCTCCTTCCCGGATATATATGGCCTGTACCATTTAGAATCAGTGATTTTCCTTCTATTGTCGTTGAAATCCAAAACCTAAACTTCGAATAGGACTATCCCGGCGCTGCTGATCGCGGTGGCATCCCGAGCGACGGAAAAAATTTTGTGAAACTCCTTAAAGAGCTAAAACAACCCTTTCTTATGTTTCCTTCCCCGATATATATGGCCTGCACCATTTAGAATCACTGCGACCAGCACAGGACTGTCCCATCAGCGTCTCAAACTCAGCACCGAAGCTGGTGTCAGTTTTTGTATTAGTCATCTTATCTCGCTACACCTTGCTTTAGCACATTCGATAGATCCTTAATATCATCGTCCTCCTTTCTGATAGCTGGTTACTCCCCTTCCCGCCTATTCTATGCCCACAAGGTCGTAGAGATCAGGTATGTGTAGGGCACATACTATGGTTCGAATGACGAGTAAATCAAACACGCAAGGGGGCCCTAGCTTATATCTCCTACCCGGATGTAGGTCGCTGTGAACGAAACACTTATAATCTATAAGCTTACCCTTCAGCAGATCTCCGTGTGCTGATCGAACACCTGACACTAGAGTTTTAATCCTCTGTTTACTAATGTCAGGCATTCCCTCGTCCTCACAGTCTTCTAGCCGATGCCTCCTCTCCGCCGAGTAGCCAGAGTGCAGCGCCCTCAGTATGCACCACAAAGTTATGCAGAAGGACGAAACGATTTTATTGCTAATCTTCGGAGCATTTAATATCTCTGCTACATCAGGTGGGTGAGACAACCCCGATAGTATAGCCGGGGCTAGTGGAATCCCGGAAGCTCGTGGATTAATAGCCGAATTCCGATTAACTATCGGGGTGTAGCTCGGTGAGGCCAACCGCAACCTAGATTACGGCTCCAATAGTTGAGGTAATGTAGGGTTGCCTGAGGAAGGAGACCCAGTTAGGGGTATACGGTCACGAGTGTGGCCCTAATAAGATACTCTCAATCTAGCCTGTGGGGTGGGAGTAGTCGTCGATAGAGGTATTGAATACCTAGTTATGGAGTTACCGGAGGGTGTCGACTTCGGCGTAGAATCGGGCTTTCTAGAGCGAGATTGAGAGGGCGTTACTAGACCCCTTCGTGGCGTAAGGTGCAATATTGGCTTGGCCGAGCTAGGACCCTCGGACAAATCGTCTGATATTGTCGAGCTGAACGGGGAAATTGGAGGCGGAGGTGACTGAGAGGGTGCCAGAGGTACGCTCTGATAGTCAAGGCTACGCGGGGTGGTATATGTGCTGGTCGCTGGCGAGATAAGGAAACTCTGACTAGGAGCGGGAGCTGTTATGTTAGATAGCTGGGGCCGCTTTGTCCTTATAATCCTTTGTTCTTGCCGTGGTACCGCAGTAATACCCGTAGTTTGACTTTGTGTTCGCCACCAGTGCTTTGTTCCGGCATTAAACCGTTATAAAGCGAGTTGGTGATAATAGAGATCATATATATAGTGGTTGAAATAGGCTCGAGCCTAGCTATGTCGAAATATATGTATTGGTTATTCGCTGCTGCCTTGGTTTTTATACCAGGCTGTATCTGGGTCAAAATATTTTTCCGAAGTAGAATGCATATCAAGCCGACCCTGTGATAAAGGCTCCAGAGTATGCTGAATATTGCGGTACGTATGCTAATAACTAGTATAAATTAGCAAGTGGAAACATAATAAGGGTAACTGTATGCATACCTTTTATTATGTTTTGGAGAAGACGTTGAATTCCCAAAGTCTTATCCTTGGCCTTGTTGGAGCTGTACCCAAGTAGGTCCCGAGCCTCACGGTGTGCTCAACCTCCAGGCTGTAACGCAATATGGCGGCAGGCCTGCACCAACAGGGATGGGCATCAGGTGGTGGTCGATGGCGGGATGGTGGAACTCAAACTCCCCGCCAGTATCTTAAGACAATGCATCACAGCTAAGGGAATATCAAGGAGTGGACGACATCGTGCTCCAGGGTATACTCTAGTTCGAGACAGGTAGGGGGTCCGTCCTGTGTCCCATGGATGCCTAGTATGTAGGCCCATAAACGCCAAGATATATCACTTGAAGATTTAAACTTTCGGGTGTCGGTTGCTTTTTCCGGCTGCCAAGAAGTGAAGCCTTGGCAGCCTTCGAGCGCGCGCTCGAAAAGGGTCCCCTTCGCCCACGTAGCTGATGCGGATTAATATTCTCTAATATATTATTAGATATTACTAAATAATTTAAAAATTATATTTTTTTCTATAATTCTTTTTTATAATTCTTATTTAATGAATATTTTTTTAATATTTCTTTTAATTTTCTTTTTATAAAATTACTATATTTT